AGTGGAAGCGTCGAGCCTGCCGGTGAAATCATAAAGCACCATCTTTTAAAGCCTATTTGAAAATTCTAACTGCTTACCAACTGGTAGCGTCCAGTTCACTAGACCCAGCAGGGTTGTGCTGAAACGTGAAAAGACAGCTGAAGCCCTGCTGTCCCCACGCGGGTGAACCTGTCGGGCCCTGTGTGGCAGCCCACCCTCCCCCCAGCCCATCTCACAGTTCATCAACCCCCAGATCAATGTGGTCACTTCCTGTCTATGTGCTGCTATTTGCCAGGAACTTTTTGTTTGTTTGCACTCCAAATGGCTCTAGCACACAAGACTGTCAGATAAAATTCCCTCTGTGGTTAATGGAAAGATCTGCTTAAACGTTGCATCACTGCTGGAAAAAAAAAAACTGAGCTCTGATTACACTCTGGGGCAAAGTCCCATCCTACAAAACAGAATGCCCACTCCGGCCCTGGAAATCAGTTTCCAGCTCCTGAGCGTTGAAGGACTGAAACAAAGCGTCAACCCGAAGCCTCCCACCACCCCGGAAGGAGCCACCGAGGGCCCCCCAATAACATCTTTATCCTCCCATTTCCGTCATCCATCTGGCTGAGCACGCAAGGGAAGGGCTGAACCAGAGTCATCATTCTAAAATGTAAGGGTTGGAAGATGCAGCAGCAATGTCGAACTATAAGCCAGCTTGGAACGTAATCAGAACAAGTAATTTTTAAAAAATTTGGGAGCCCTTACAGCTATTGGCTGGTGCTTCAGTAACATCCACCCTTCTCCCGACTTTTGGCAAAAGAACAAGTTAAAAACAAATGCCCTCAGTTGGCTTAAATGACAGCCCTTGGAAAAACCCAGTGACTGATACTGCACCCTGAGAACAGTTGGGCTGTTCTCCCAAGGAGAGGGCTGGTCCACAAACCCCTTCGAGCAAAATGGCCCTTTCCAAAGGTGGTTAAAAACATCAAGTAAAGGTGATTAAGAATGGAAGGAAAACAACCGCACGATGCTGGTGCAAGATCGGAGCAAAGGGATGCTTAATAAATGTGTGTGCACGTGTAGCTGAAGTCTTAAATCTTCCCTCCCGCTCGTGTGTTGCTTCCATTTCGTTCAACAAATGTACACTCTATCAGCTTTCACACGAAGTAGGGGTGGATTGTAAATTCCATCACTTATCAAAGCAATTTTATACAATAGGGACTGGAGCTAATTAAAATAAAATACCGTCTGCATTCGATTGAGCTTTATCCTAAACCCTATAACATTCATCTCCAGTTTGGTCATTCAAACACGATGGCAACCGCATTCCAATGACTCTGAATAATATTAAATCATCTTTTCCCTTTCTCAATAATATTAATTACACAACTCTCCAATCGAGAAGGTGACACAAAAATGCTTTGCTCATGTGGGAAAATGTCCTGGTGCTGCAGGACAAGGTAACACTAAACACTTTTGTAAAATAGCTAATTTTACCCAATATTTCACTGGAACGACTAGGTAGAGTAAATATTAGAGTGACAGCTAATTGATTTGGTTTGCATTAAAACGAGACTGATTTAAACAGAGGCATTTCAGTTACAATTCTGAATTTGTATTCGGAATTGGGTTCAGATGTCTATGTGTGTTCCCTGGGGCTAAGCATTTAATTAGAACTGTAGGAAACAATCAGCCAATCACGTGGGAGTCGCAGGCGGTGCTGGAATGTGAGGGCTGTTTACCTTTTCTCTCTTTCCTCTTTATTGGCAGGATGGTCTGATAGCGGCCCTGCCAGGAGCTTATTAAGAAGCTCTGTACAAAAGGGATTCTTATTTGAAAAACTTAACTGCCATAGCCTTTGGAAGTCTCTCCTTCCTGCTCTTTCCTTCAAGGACACAGCTGATGACCGGAATACCCTGCCCTCAGACCCAGACTGAATGCCGTACTTTGAACCCACCCACAATGCCCAAGCCCATCATCTCAGATGCCTTGGAGGAGGCTGGCTGGGGCCCGCCCGGAATTCTCCTCAGCCGGATGCTGGGGCTGCAGTGTCCTGCTCCGCTGGTGCTGACAGAGCGGAGACCCGCTGGACGGGCATCTCTGCATCCCGTGGGGCACAGGGCCTCACACCCAGCAGGTGCATAATTAGTATTTTTGGAAGGAAGGATGGAGGAGTTGAGTTGAATACCTTTAAGAGTTTTAAAATTTAATCACTAAAAAAGAGTGGGGGGGGGGCGCCTAAAACACAGATTACGTCTAACTAATAGAAATAGTTCTAACAATTGAGAAACAGCTTCATTCTCCAAAATCCCTCAGGAAATGAGACAGGCTGGGACCTGGGACCCTTTGCCACAGTGCTTGCACCTGGACAAACGTCTCCTCAAGCAACAAAATACAAAGAAACTATAAGGGACTAAAAAAGTAACTGCATGCGTGCACAGCTGGGGCAATTTAGGGACAGCAAGATACAAAAAGACCGAAAACCCAACTGCCACTTCTGAAGAGCGGGGAGCAAACGCAGGGATCAGGAGCAAATGCAGGGTACTGTGCGTGCCCCCTGCACTCACCACCACCTAAGCCACCCCTCTGGCCAGAATTCTGGACACACCCCCTACCCTCACCCCATATAAGGAACAGGCTCAGCCCCCATCAGGGAGCTAGCAACGGTACCTGTTGTTTGTTCCCGCTCCCCTCCGCTGTAGCGGGGCCCCAATAAAGCCTTGCCTGAATTTCTTGTCTGGCCTTTTATCAATTTCTTTTGATTAGGAGGCTAAGAACCCTCGTCAGTGACAGAAAGGGGACCAAGAAACCCACTGTCCCATCCTCTTCTCACTGCACGTCTCTACAGGGCTGGGGGCGGGCAGGGGCTCCCCCATGCAAACAGAGCGCACCTCACTGTGACTCCCTCTGTGGGAATGATAGCTCCGAAGACTTTGGACAGAGAACAAGTATGCCATCCTCACAAGACAGACCACTGCTTGCTTAAGAGAAACTGTGGAGGGCACTGCAGCAACTCCCTTCCTAGCTTAGAAACGTCTCCGCACTCTGACAGGTGACTGGTCACTGCGAACCTCAGCCCCCCACCCCGCCTCCCCCGACCCCGCAGCCGCATAGAACCCACATGTCTTTGGTGACGGGCTGGGCACTCTGCACTCAGCTCTACGGTGATTCGGGTCTGCTGGCCCTTCTCCAGTGGGCCCATCCTGTGGGAATGAGCTACTACCACCTGGCTTTGCTTCCCAGAGGAAAAAAAAATATACCAGCCCCTTTGAAAAGCATTCCCTCAAGCTCCATGGCATGAACACACACGGGTATAAACACAGCCCCAAACGGTCAGGTGGGAGGATGCATGTAAGCTGCCTGAGCACATACTAATCCCTTCATAAACATTAAATTCCTGGGACTTCCCTGGTGGTCCAGTGGGTAAGACTCCATGCTCCCAATTCAGGGGGCCCGGGTTCGATCCCTGGTCAGGGAACTAGATCCTGCATGCATGCCTAAACTAAGAGTTTGCATGCCGCAAGTAAGAGTCGCATGCTGCAAATAAGAAGTCCACGTGCTGCAACTAAAAGATCCAGCATGCCACAACTAAGACCTGATGCAGTATGCATCCATGCATAAATAAATAATTAAACAAACAAACAAAACAAAAACATTAAATTCCTTTCCCTGCTATGAAGGAAGAATGGTATTAGCACAATATTTGCTATCTATCTCCTTCAGTCTGTCCACCCACCCATACTTCCATCCATCCATCCTTCTACCCGCCTATAAAATGAACTCAGAATCATACACTACATGTCTACCTTGTCAGAGCCCAACTGCACGAATTAGTTTCACAGGGACCACTTCCTCATGTTCTTAAAACCAGACCACCACAAGGTCATGTCCTGGAGAAATGTTTTAGGTACAGTTCTCAGGGATACACCATCTCTCCGACTACCCCCAGCTCCGCCAACACAAAAGTATCCACGATTATCAGTGGGGTGGCTTGGGACAACACCAAGGCCAATTTCCCCAAGGAAACTTTATTATCCACGTTCTCTGGGGATCACTGAAGGAGTGACACGTGCCAGCTTTGGAGCCCAAGTGAACATTTCACACATTGCTTTTAAGAGAAGGTGATTTCCATGTTCTAAAACTACGATTTACCAATGGCCTCATTTCTTTGTTGGGGCTGCTACTGCTTCTCACTTGAACTTCACTGTCCCTCATAGCGCTCAATGCCCTGTGACATATCACATATTCTTCTATAGACTGTCAGCCCCACCATCCACTCTGACAGCCCTGCTGTGGACACAGCGTGACATAGCAGGTATTCCAAAATCACCTGGTGAATGAATGAAGTCATCAAAGGCTCACCTGACCATCTGACATTTTTAATCTTACCAAGTGTTGATTGATATTTGTCAAATATTAATCTAAAATCTACGCAGAAAGAAAGTATAATTAACCACCCAATAAATATGAACTATACTAAAAATGTCAGCCTCTTTTCAAATTACATTTGTTTTCATCTCAGAGATCACAGGAATTTTTAAGGAAAAAAGAGTTATATTTACTTCCCAGGTTTTTAAGTTCATGGTAACCATTAAGATATGTGTTATGACAATCACAAAAACATCCGCTTGTCCAAATTCTAGTTTCATTATTAAAACGCTAGCTTGAATTGCATGGCCTTTATGGGTAAGATTCACATATTTATCGCCTCTGACTACTGCGTATTTTGTTGATTTTTAAAGATTTAAAATATTAGCTCTATAGTCATTTGATTGTTACTTCAAACTGAAGTCAAGAATTTAAATTCCCAAGTCTCCCAAGGAACCCGAATATTTGGAGCCTTTAGATGGTCTGATATGTAGCTGCACATCTTTCTTGTTTTATTCCAAGTGGATATGGAAAACTAAAGGCTATCTAGAATCCCATTAAAATCCAGACTCAGGCATTTTCAGAACCACAGACCCAAAAAATAAGCAAACAATACCCTAGGCCCTAAAAAAGCACCCTGCATAGGGAGCAGAGATTTGTACCTGGGGGTCCATCCTGAGGAAGGTGTGAGGGCCTCTGCTACTCAAGGTTGATCTTTTAAAGGTTTTGCTATGATAAAAGTGGTAGTAATCTTCCAGGTTTCCGATCTGCAAAACAAGAAGCAGGATATCACCAGTCAATACAGTCTTTCAAAATTCTGCATCCCACAAACATCCTCCTCTGAGAGGCTCGTCCTGCTCCCAAAGGAAACATACCCTTCGTTACACTTCCCCACTCAAGTCTCTGGCAGATTCAGCGTCTGTGAACATGAAGGTCGATTCAGAGACTCCTTTTGGATAAACAACACTAGGTTGTATTTTCCAATGAAGCACACACTCCCCAAATCTTGCGATGAGGTCATATCACTTAAAGTTTGTATTATCTTGGCCAAGTTTTTTAGACATGAATTAATGTTCATTTAGGGTCAAGCATCCCTGAAGTAGCTGAGTTAGTGTCAAGTCAGGTCTACACCAAAATATTCATTTATAAACAAACTCCATCCTTTCCACCCCATGGGTAAACTGAAATATCTAAGAATGAACATTCATTCTCAAGTGCAACAAGGGAGCCAAGGCAAACACTCGGCCTCATCTGCTTGGGGATTGCGGAAAGGTCAGCTGAGAACATCCAAGCCCCCAGGGTGTCCCAGTTTTCTGCCAGCAGTGGTTTGTCAGGACAGATTTCAGCCTGAGGCCTGGAGGGGACGTGGAGGGGCGGTGAATGTGGCCCTCTGATGGGCTGCTCCCGCTGGCCACTCCCCGCAGCACCGACTTGCTCTCACGACCCTGGAGCATAAGGACACTGTTCTCAGAAGACCTGCTTCTCATTCTAACTTCCACTGGTTGTTGAAAACAGCTGGTTGGTCACCATCCTTGACAGCAGAGCTTTCTAACTGAAGAGGAGAGCTTTCTGACCGAATACTATATAGACTCTCACGCTGCCCTTCTCAGGCTAAACCATCCTAGTTTCTTTTCCAGCGTCTGATTAAAGAGTGAATTTAGGGTGAATTGTCCTCTAGAGCAGTTAGATGTGATGATGAGCCCAGGTTTCCAGTCAGACAGACCTAATCCAAGCCCTGCCCACTCCCTTCACCGCCAATGATCGTGTGATCTCCCAGGCAAGATTCACCTCCTGCAAATCTCAACTCCTCACGTGTAAAATGGGGATAAAACTACTTACCCCATGCAGTTGTTTAAGTAGGACTAATGTCCACCCAATTCACCAAGACCTTCTACTCACAGACATTGCATCTGCTACAAGATATCCCAGCAGAGTGGACCGCCCCAGGCAGAGACCCGGAGGGACGTGGAGATTCTGAGTGGCCATTTCCACATCTTTCCACAAGAAGATCAAGCAAGTATCTACAGAGAGAGCCCACTTTACTACAGCCTTCAGCGCTCATTGCCAGAAAGCCTGGCAGTCGGGATGCATCCTGTTCTTGAGCTTCTAGAGACACCCACTTGTCCTTGAAATAAAGAACGTCCTTGTTCACTTAAGCTTGCTCCAGGGTGTTTTTGTCGCTTACAAGCACAGAACAGTGAATACCGTGATCGTCATGAGGGTAAGCAGGTATCATCTGTACAGTGCCTAGTTTAGAGCCTTGAACCTAGTGGGTGTTCGAGAAATCCTGGCCGTATTGAGAGCTGGGATTCTCTCTCTGGCTCTTCTCCAAGGCTCCTTCAATCCTTCACTGGGTCTAGGACAGACCTCAACTCAACCATTCCTGCTGGGTGACCTGGGCTTCAGACCCTCCATGAGTCTTAGTTTCCTTGTGAGAAAACTAACTACTACGTTTAAGGGCTGCTCCAAGACTCTCTCTCTCTCTATATATGTACAGAGTCAGGTACAGCTCTTCATATATAAAGAGCCAGCTGAGTGCCCAGCAGGTAGTAAGTGCTCTATACATAGTTTTCTGCAATTATGATTCTCAGTTCATTTCCTACCTCAAGACACTGCTCTACGATCATAAACCTCATTATTTCTGCCCTATTTTGCACAAAAGCACTTTTTTTCCTCCTCCTACAGTTAACTGCTCACTTCTTCAACAAAGTTAATTGTTATGTATGTCAAAGGGCTCCTCCTAGAACAAGCCAGAGCTGTTATTTAGCAATAATGGAGTCTTAACTTACAGCAATGTTTAATCAGCATGTTTGCTTATAAGCTGCTACCTTCCCTGGGAGATGTTTCACAACTTTTGGTCTTTTAACTCCAGGCATTCAAGTCAATTTCCACTGAGGGACATGGAGAAACTAAGAGTTGAATCAAATTTGCTGGCAAGGGGATGGATTAATTGAAGAGCTGCTGACCCTAAGCAGACCCATGTCAGGGTAGCCCTGGAAGCCATTCAGGGCAGCACCTGGCCTCAGAGCAGCCAAGCCTCTCTTCAAAGGCCAGTCCCAAGGCCACCCAGGCCCCTGCCTCTGCCCCTATCCAGCTACATCCCGAGCAATGGCTCAGAGGGTCTGAGCTGACGGGAGTCATTCTCTTTGAGCAATTCAAGGGAAGAACAGATGGTTCTCACAGTCCTGACCCAGCCAACTGCCCCTGAGGGCAGCAATGGCCAATGCCACATCTGTTTGGAAGCTTATATCCAGCCCAGCATGGAGGCTGAGGGTCTGGGTTAGGGTTAGGATCTGGGGAGGGTTAGGGTCTGGGCTAGGGTTAGGTTAGGGTTAGAATCTGGGGAGGGGGAGGGTCTGGGTTAGGGTTAGGTGCAGGGGAGAAGGGGACACCAGCCAAGGCCCCCCTCCTGCCCAGCTGCAGGAAAAGCTGGAGTCTGACTCAGGAAAAAGGGGAGGGAGTTGGGTCACTGGCTATTCAGGAATCTGGAAGCGGCCCTCCAGATCCCCCTGAGATTTTGTGCACCTCCATCCACCCTCTGCCCCTCCAGAAGCCGGTGTGAGAGCATGGGGAGAGACACCTTCCTTCCCTGAAACCAAAGATTTGAATGTCAGGCAAACATAGGCCTGACAGGGCACGGGCCAGAAAGGGCTGCCTGGCGCTGGAATGACCTCAAGGGTAGGAAAAGGAAGGAAGGAGGAAGACAGGGCCCAGATGCTCAGGAGGGAATCCAGAGACTGTGAGAGGCCTGGGCACCCTCTGCAGCTTGGATGAACATAATATCCCGAAGGCTGTGGCTACACTGTGTGGTTATCAAGTACTAACTCATTCAGAGCAGTGGTGGGCAGACGATGGCCTATGGGTCAAATCTGGTCTACATTCTGGTTTTTTACATTAAGTTTTAAAATTGTGGTAAAATAGACGTAACACTGACGATTGTAACAATGTTTAAGCGTATAGTTCAGGGGCACTGGGCACATTCGCTCTGTCATGTAACCGTCACCACCTTCACCTCCGGAATCTTTTCATCTTCCCAAACTGAAACTCTGTCCCCGTTAAACACGAGCTCCCCCTCCCCGCTCCCAGCCCCGGGCGCCCACCATCTGCTTCTTGTTTCTGGGAATCTGACAGCTCTAGCTGTCTCAGCAGGATCATTTGCCCTTTTGTGACTGGCCTGTTTCCCTTAACATGATGTCCTCGAGGTTCACCCATGCTGTAGCAGGTGTCTGAATTTCCTTCCTTTCTCAGGCTGAATCATATTCCATTGTGTGTACAAGTCACAGGTCGCTTATCTGTTCGTCCACTGATGGGCACTTGGGTTGCCTCTACCTTTTGACTACTGTGAATCATGTTGCTCTGAGCACGTAGGCAAGTATCAGTCTATGACCCTGCATTCCATTCTTTTGGACATACACACAACTCCTGTTTTTATAAATAAAGCTTTACTGGGGCACAGCCACCAGCGTCCACTTACCTTCTGCCCACAACTGCTCTCATGCTGTGATGCCACAGCTGAGTGGTGGCTACAGAGACCCTCTGGCCCCCACGCCTAGAACACGTCACACGTGGACTTTACAGAAAATGTCTGCCAACCTGCGATTTATAGCATTTGTTGCTGAGTGTGTCTAGGGAGTCCACCAAAGTCTCTGAGGTTGGACATGGTTTCTCTAAGGGCTGGGGACGACCAGTCCACACACCGAGGGGCTCTGCTTAAAAACACAAGTGCAGCTGCAAGGCCAGCGCCTTCAGCATCTTACCTAGTCACTGAGCTGCCCTTTCTCCAAGCACCATCCTTGTCTGATGCCCCCCGGGTCACTCCTGTCTGTCTGACTCACGCTGTGCTGCCCTCTGCCCAGCTCGCCCCCTGGCATCAGGCCTGGGTCAGGAATATGAGGTTTCCGAGACAGGCAGAAGGTTGGAAAGGATCAAGGGATGGCAGCGCAGGAGGCGGGTGCCCTGACTGCAAGTGGGACACAGCCCAGCTTGGATGACGTGGCATTTACGACATAGCCATTTCCTGCCCCGTCCCCCTTGCCCACCCTGTCACCTCCCCCACCACAGCCGTGTCAACCCCAGTTATGCCCTCCCCACTTGGGAGCTGCCCCTTGAGCTCTCCGGGTACCTTCGTGAGATAAGAGGACAGGAGGGCAGATCACTCTGGGGACGTGGCCACTGGCCTGGTTAAACACGAGGGACAGCTGACTGTCCTCTGGCCTCACAGACAGGGGTGGGGGGAGGAACCACGGAGATGACCCCATTTTAAAGATGGGAAGACTGAGGCCCAGGGGGGTTAAGCCCAACGTTACCCTCAGGGTCTCCCAATTCCTGAGCCAACTCTCCCCATTGTGCCCACAGACAAACAGGGGATGACATCTTACACAGCATGACAAACAGCTACACAGTTAGGGCTCAGGACCTACTGCTACACTTTTGATGCTGCTTGAGGGTCAAACTGACAAGAGCTGGAAGCAGAAGAATAGACAAAAAGGTGGGGTTGGCACAAAGACGTCTTAAATTCAGGGTAATCCCCTAAGAAAGAAAACATTCTAAACTAACACACCATTGTAAAGCAATTATATCCCAAGAAAGATGTTTAAAAAAGAAAACATTCTCATTTTTACTTGGCATCTGCATTGACATTAAAGTAGGCGCTCGTCCTGGCTCGGCAGCCCTGGCCATCCTGGATGCTGTCCCTCAGCCTGGCCTTGCTGTGCTCCCCTGGCCACCACGCCCATGCTCTGGGCACCACTTCCACAGCCAGCGCCTA